TTGCTTGTAGGGTTCAGGGATCTCGTAGTCGAGCAGTCTCGACTAGAGCTTTCTTACTTGTTTTTTTTTAGAAATCTACGTAGAGTTTCGGGTCAATTAAAGGGATTTCAACTTGATGATTAATGCCTTTGAGAATTTATTTATTCAGCTCTTGTGACGCAAAACAAATCTCTCAGAAAAGTTTTCTTTCAGCCCAGTGACTTGACAAGAAACCCGATAAGGGAGTGAAAAAGAAAATTTAAATTTTATTGCCAACGTTTTGCTGCAGTTGTTAAAGCATTTACGATTTAGATATGCCGGAAATTCATAAGCCCTTAAACAGCAGAAGAGAGACGGCGTGGGTAAATAATCACAGGCAATTATTAAGGCTTAGGAATATGGCTATGGATATGGCTGACATCGATGTGCAAGGGCATTACTGATGTTTATTAATACATGCGCATATATTTGCGGCAAGTGACAAATGCTCAGAATGCCAGACAAACCCGGCTGCAAAAAAAGGAAGAGAGAGAAGTATAAAAGAATAAATTCTTCGACTCGGCTGATTGACATCATAAATAATATTGGGCATATCACAAGGCTTCACAATAAATTCATAACCAGCAGACGACAAATGGCAGACATTTTTATCGATGTCGAAGTTTTGTCTTTCAATTTCTATCTGATATGGAGGAAAGAGCCAAAAGCAATGCGAAGTTAAATTTAGAAGCGCAAAAGATGTGGAAAATATGAAGAAATGTTTGTAAAAAATGTGGGTTAACTCTGGCTCTCTAAATTAATTCTGCTGCAGAACTTTTTTTTATTGGAAATGCCTAACAAGCTTGCTCAGTTGTCTGTATAATTGCTGTAGGTTATTTGCTTGGTTAGACATAACTCTCTTAAGTTGTGCGGTCTCCCATTGAAATGTGTTAATGGGAGGTCAGACAGATGTTGTAGGGGTTAGCGGTTGTTTGAGAAAGTTGAAATAAATTCCAACAGCTGAAAGCGATGCTGACCCAAAACTGCGAGAGCTGAAAAACTGAATGAATATATATTAAATATATTAATTTCTTTCAGTTTGATAAACATAAAACATAAAAAAGCATTTTCTATAGATTCATGCTCGAGTATTAATAAATAGTTTGTTGGTGAAAGTACCTTATATAAAGAGAAGGTAATTAGAGTTGGCTGCATAGAACTAAGACTAAATAACCCTTGTCTGAATTGTATGAAAGCCATTATTTTATTTATTAATTTTTGTATATATATTGCTTTTACACTTTTTATGAATTTTCCTTATTATTATTATTATTTTTTTTTAATTTAAATGTAAACATTCATTGATTTAATTATTAATTTAAAAAAATATATATTTTTTAAATTTGTAATTTTTATATATATTCATTATTTCATTAATTTTTATTTTTAATATTTTTCATTTAAATTTAGTTATATGTATGTATATATATATATATTTCTTTTCAAAGTTATATTATTATATTTATTTCTATTTATTTTTCTTAATAAATGTATGTATTCTTTTTTCTTTTGAAATAAATTATATACATATATATGTATTTTTTATTCAAGGAGACTTTTTGTATTTATTTTATAACATTGTATTTTTGTACTTACATTTGTAGGTATTTATAAATTAAATACTAAATCTATACATTGATGTAAGTGTGTCAAACAAAAAACTTAAAAATACAACATATATTTATTTATTTAAGTATATACGAAGAAAAGAT